TGCACTAAACCAAAATAAACGCCAAATAAAGTATTCTTTAGAAATTTCAGCTTAAACCCAAGGAGAGAGAAAAAAGAACACCTTGTCTCTTTAAATAGCAACAACCAAATGAGTATTACCCTGAACTACCTTAAATGCGCATGCCCAATCAGCCGAAATAATAAGGGAATAAAAAACATTAAATTCACAAAAAAACGAACATACCTTTCGTTTGCCAAACTGATACTAAGCATATGAAGACAGGAAAATTCAACCGAATGAAATTTTCACACGAACACAGAAACAAACGAATGCTACCAGAGCCTATAAGGAAAACGCAGACCAAGGTGGCGAAATGACGGGAAACTGCCAAACGCAGTTTCCAAACGAATGAACAGTAAGAACACAGGCAAAAAAAAACATAAGAAGGTCTCCTATTATAAATGCATTACCAGCAAAAATTGATAAAGAATGCTGGTAACATATCCTAAAATGATATAAATATTTAGCAGAAATGTTTATCCATTATACCGCTACCATTTGGATCACTGCGGATTACATATATATATATGTATATATATAAATATATATATATATATTCAATGTGTGTTTACTACATGCACCACTACCATAAGGATCAGTGCGGCTATAAATCCCTGAAAGGAAAGCATGATTCACACATAATGACCCCTACCAATAGGATCACTGCGGACTTATCACAGGTATAAAGTGTATACTCCATGCACCGCTACCATTAGGATCACAGCGGTTAAATCTCTTATGCGTGTGATCACTTAACAAAAACCGCTGCCCGTAGGATCACTGAGGTACAATTTCCATCACATAATACCCATTATATTACCGCTATTAGACTATTATGGCAGAATTCTTCTAATATTAAGGATATCTGCTTGTATATTTACTTGTTTAATAACATTTAAAATTTCAATTTCTTCCAGGAGAGAGAGGCTGAACTCTCCTGGGAATTAAAGAGGTAAACTTAAAATAAAATAAAATAAAGGTAAGGTAAATTACCTGAATCATGTCCACAGCCAAGAGGACAGGAAAAAAGACTGATGATACCAGGTAAGGAGGGCCTATTTGTAAGTATTTCCTGTCCTAAACAGCCAAGGGGGAGGAGCTAACCCTATCGTGATACTTCCATGGATGAGTATCCAGGAAAGTTGTTTTGGTGCTTAGAGTATCACTTTAATGTGCATTTAAATCCTTAAATAATTATTTCCTACTGAAGATTAATTAGTGTGGAGACTGAAGATTGTAAAATAAACTCAATTTGTGATTCATAAGAGATGTATCTCTAATTTGTTTTGTTTGCACATTAGCAGTTTGAATGTAGTACTAATATGTGTTCATTTATTATGATTCCTATCACATTAATGGAAAACTCTCCAAGCAAATGTTATTTTTTTGATCTTTCTGCTGCCTTCAACACTGTTGACCACCTGCTTCTTCTTCTCACCTTTTGCAGCTTTGGCCTCAGTGACACTGCTCTTTCTGGTTTTGTTCCTATATTTTGTTAAAATAAACTATACATAGGCAAACTCCCAAGATGAATTCCAGGAGGATGAAGTAACATTTAGTCCATAGTGTTTTAAATTAAAAATGGACGTTTTTAAATTAAATAATGGAGCAATAGATCACTATAAACAATTCAGTATCTATGTCAGCCTTGCAAGAGGTGGTCTTATTTTTGAATAATTATTGTAACAATCTGAATAATATTATTAGGTTTTTCCATTATTTCTTCCAACACCTATATACGGGTATAACTGAATGGCTGACTGTTCATATATACATGTACAAAGGAAACTGGAGAGGTTATGCATACATCTCAAACCATGTGGCACATGCAGAAATATGGAATTATTTTAGAAATCAAGGAGATATTCAATGATCTAAACAATTTATACAGAATGCATTTTCGTTTGGTGGAAAACAGCGCACTACATTTTAACATGAACTGAACAGGATCTGCCTTTCCATCACTGACATTTAATAATTAAATCAAACAGTATATTCAACAATAGAACATATGCATCAGCGTCTTTCAAATTGCATTTCCTTCCTGTTAGATCCATTAGTGTAAACCAGACTGCCTTCAGAAAACCCCTTATTGCGGCTGTCTTTTAGCAAAGTTCCTGAAATGGATAATGCACTGCATATTATGGGCAATTACACAGAACTCCCTTGTGATGGTGTTTTGGAGATTTAAATGAAACAGCTGGAAATTGAAGAGCACAAACTAACGAGGAAGTAAAAAAAAAATGAAAATGCATGGAATGTTACAATGAAACACACAACAATAAAAGTAGCGTATTGTGAAGTGATTGGAAACACCCAACATGTAAAATTGTATTGTTTATATATGGGAGTTGGGTTAAATCATGAAAAACACAGAAAAGGGTTTATTAACTAAACAGTAAGTTGTGGCGAATGATCAAGAAAATACAATATAATTGGGTGAGAAGGGAAAAAAATCTTCAACATGCTTTTTGTTTTTAGCTTATATTTTGCAAGTATTTCTTAATAGATGTTATTTTTAAATGAATATTGTGATTAAAGGGACACAATAGTCACGAGAACAACTACAGCTTATTGTATTTATTCTGGTGGGAGAAAATACAGTGTTTACATTACAACCACTGGCGTACATATACAGTGTTTACATTACAGCCACTGGCGTACATACCAGGTATGTGGGTATGTACCCACAGGGCCAGCCTCTTCCCCTGGGGGGCCCAGGAGCCGACGACCCCAGGGCCCCCCTGAGGCTGGCCCTGCTGACCCCGGGTGGCCGGCCGGGCAGGCAGGCGGGCGCGCGAGGGAGCACTCAGTGCTTCCTCTTCAGCTCCCTCGCGCACCGCAATGATACCGGAGCCGGAAGATGACGTCATCTTCCGGCGCCGGCATCCCTACGCGGCGCGCGAGGGAGCTGAAGAGGAAGCACTGAGTGCTCCCTCGCGCGCCCGCCTGCCTGCCCGACCGGCCACCCGCCCAGGAGCCCCACTGGACCCCAGGGAATAATCCCCCCCAGCACTCCAAGAGGTAAGGAGGCTGGGGGGATTATATTAAAAAAAAAAAAATCATGTGTGAGTGTTAGTGTGAGTGTGTGTGAGTGTGTGAGTGTTAGTGTGTGTGAGTGTTAGAGTGAGTGTTAGTGTGTGTGTTAGTGTGTGTGAGTGTTAGAGTGAGTGTTAGTGTGTGTCTGCTAGTGAGTGTTAATGTGAGTGTTAGTGTGTTAGTGTGTGTGTCTGCTAGTGAGTGTCAGTGAGTGTGTTACTGTGTGTGTCTTACTGAGTGTGTGTGTGTTAGTGAGTCTGTTTGATGTCTGTTAGTGAGTGTGTGTTTGTCAATGAGTGTATGTTTTGTAAGTGAGTGTGTATGTATGTCTGTCGCTGACTGTATCTCTGTCAGTAAATGTGTGTGTCTGTTAGCTAGTGTGTATGCGTCTGTAAGTGAGAGTGTGTGTGTCTTCAGCACTTACCTTTCTCCAGCGCCGGACTCCCTTGGCGCTGAGGATCCCTCAGCCTCTCAGCTCCGAATGCGACCGCGCACGCATTCAAACCGCCCATAGGAAAGCATTACTCAATGCTTTCCTATGGACGTTCAGTGTGCTCCTCTAGTGGCTGTCCGTGAGACAGCCACTAGAGGCTGGATTAACCCTCAGTGAAACATAGCAGTTTCTCTGAAACTGCTATGTTTTCAGCTGCAGGGTTAAAACTAGAGGGACCTGACACCCAGACAACTTCATTGAGCTGATGTGATCTGGGTGTCTGTAGTGGTCCTTTAAAGGACCACTATAGTGCCAGGAAAACATACTCGTTTTCCTGGCACTATAGTGCCCTGAGGGTGCCCCCACCCTCAGGGACCCCCTCCCGCCCGGCTCTGGAAAGGGGTAAAACGTACCTTTTTCCACCGCTGGGCGGAGAGCTCTCCTCCTCTGATCCTCCTCTTCTCCTCCCCGTCGGCTGTATGCGCACGCGCGGCAAGAGCTGTGCACGCATTCAGCCGATCACATTATGAATGCTTTCCTATGGACGCTGGCGTGCTCTCACTGTGAAAATCACAGTGAGAAGCACGCAAGCGCCTCTAGCGGCTGTCAATGGGACAGCCACTAGAGGAAATAGGGGAAGGCTTAACCCATTCATAAACACAGCAGTTTCTCTGAAACTGCTATGTTTATGAAAAAATGGGTTAACCCTAGCTCGACCTGGCACCCAGACCACTTCATTAAGCTGAAGTGGTCTGGGTGCCTAGAGTGGTCCTTTAAGTGTGTGTGCATCTGCATGCACTGGCGTACATACCGCGGTCGCAGGGGTCGCAGCCCTGTAACCCCTGCGACCAGGTGCCCACCGCCATGTGTTGCTGCCCGGCCCGCGCGGGGGGGGGGCCCACGGATCAATTTTCGCACCGGGGCCCCATGGGTCATGTGTACGCCACTGATTACAGCCTAGTGATAACTTCACTGGCCACTCCCAGATGACTGCTAGAGGTGCTTCCTTGGGCAGTCCTGTCTAGCATGCATTACAACATTCAGTGTCTCCACCCTCTGCATGCAGACACTGAAGTTTAATCATAGAGATGCATTGATTCAATTCATCACTATGAGGAGATGCTGATTGGCCAGGGCTATGTTTGACTTGTGCTGGCTCTGTCCCTGATTTGCCTCCTTGACAGTCTCAGCCAATCCTATGGGGAAGCATTGTGACTGGCTCAGACCACCACTTCTGATAATGTCAAAGGTCAGAGGCAGTTCGGAGGCAGAGACCACAGCTCCAGACTGAAATACAAGTACGATTTTACTATATTTAGGTTGGCAAGGGGGATGAGGAGGGGCTAGGTGGTGGTTTTAACACTAAAGAGTGAGGAATACATGTTTGTGTTACTGACCCTATAGTGTTCCTTTAAATAAAGCACGAAGAACCGAGCCAGATTCACTTGAGAATAGGCATAATGCAAATGGCCTTTAAACATTTAGACAAAAAGTATAACTGCTGCAAGAGAGCCAATGGAAACAGACATGTGTTGATTTTGCCCCTATAATCTAGGGGCAAAATCAACGCGTGTCTGTTTCCATTGGCTCTCTTGGAGCAGTTATACTTTTTGTCTATATGTTTAAATGCCATTTGCATTATGCCTATTCTCACTGATTTACTGAACTTCCCACATTGTATGCGATATCTCAGTTGAGGGGTGTGTTTGCAATTAGAGGGGTGTGTGGATGCATATTAGAGCTATTTGCATAAATTTTTCATGGCTGCATTGTTACATATTTATTCACTAAAGTAAGAGTTCAAAGCAAATTTTTAAGGCCAACATAGCTGCTTTGGAAAAATTCTCTTTTGGCTACTTTGGCCTAAAATGTGAACTTTTTCTTGAATTCACAACTTGTGGTGAATAACCCTGATAGATTTTTAGTTCCTAATGCCTTGCTCTGATTTAGGCAGGTCACCTTATGAGTAATGGAACCGAGAACAGCATCTTATTCATTGAGAAATTCGTTTCTCTTAATGAATGAAATGCTGCTTGCAATCAAATTGTGCGTTTTTAGTCTGACATTCAAGGGTCTCTATTGGACGTTCGAAAGCTTGCACACATACAAGCTATCTAATTCTTCTAGACAATGCTATAGAAAGTCGGGAATTGACAGATATGGGTGAATTTGTGGACATTGGATGCAGATCAGATTTTTATAAAATATGGTGGTTAAAAAAGGACTGAAATTCTGTTTAGATTTTTTTAGTGCATGTTTATTTATGAATTGTCTGCATAATGCATGAAATATGGATAGTAAATCCAATCTGAAATGTGCCTTTAATGCAAGTGATAAAGTTTAAAAAAGCAATTCAGACCACAGATCGGTGTATAATAAGTATAAATGATATATAGCAATTTTATATAGTCTAACACACAAGATAAATACTCACATTTATTATTAAAAAGCTCAAAATGAACCTGCAAAATGTGGCAATCCAAATCTATCTTATCATAGTAACAGGCACCCAGTAATGTCCCTTTGCATAAACAGTTGCAGTAAATGACATCATGATGTGTCAGCAATGTTACCTTGGATACAAAAACTGATCTCATATGCATCTCCATGGCAACGTTGTTCATACTTCGCTCACTATGATGTCATTTATGGTGCTCGTTACCCATGGAAACATTAGTAAATGTCTGCTACTCTAACCATAGATTAAAATGCCACACCTCACAGGTAGGATACTTAAAATCTCTTTATAGATCTCACTAATCTCACTCTTTCTCATATAATCATCAGGTTAATCAAACAAAATGGTTCTCCATTCAATGGGACTTCCTCACCAAAGATATATCTCCCAGTCCCGTTTTTTTTTTTCATGAATAATGTATAATAGCAACTGTGCTGATTGTGTTGAGTAAAATCGCTTTTTGTAAATGAACAGATGATTAAATATTCATGTAAATCTGCATAACTTTCTGGAGAGCAAAAAGTATTCAAAACATATAATTGAAACAATATATTTGGCTTTCCTACAATGTCACTTAAGTTTTTCTTTCTTAATACAATATTGGACTGAAGTGATGCGTTTTCTATTATCTATGTTCATCACACAGTTTAATAAGCAGCACAAAATATGAGTTATATTATTTCAAGTAAATATATGTTAATTGAAAATTTAAGATAGTTTACATATTTAAGAATATGCATGAAAATAACTATGTAGTGAAATTAATATTTTCCTTGCAGAGGAAAGTAAATGTCTGTCTGTTTGTCTCTCTGTCTATTAATTGTTTATCAATATGTTATTAAATATAGTATATCTTGCAACATTATTATTAAAACTATTCTCCAATGAATGAAAGGATCTGGTTTCAAAATAACGTATTTACTGAGATAATTATGTAATGCTAGATTTTAGTGTTTAAATTTAATTTTAGAAATACCGCTGACATCTACACTGTAAATTTGACTATGTTTTTCTTGAAGACTCAGATACTGTGTAATTAGCTCCTAAAATGCCCTCATTGCAATAGTGACCTTGATTTATTAGATCAGGTGAAATTATCTGCACAACCCATGATCTGTATCATATGGTTTTATTAAATTGTTCAATGAAAAAACTAAAGAAGGACCCAGCAACCCCTATCCAGAAACAAATATGTAGATTTGCACCTACGTTTATACATGTGTTAAATCATCACAGGGATCTTTAAGGTTTGTTTGTATAATTTGTTGTCAGTTGTTTGTGCCGAGGAACACATTTTTAACACATGGTTGTATTTGCTCATGTGAATTGATATTGTGTTTTATTTTTAAATTCTCAGAATTGTGTCAAGTATAAAGGGAATCTCAATATATATTTTTTTAATATTAGTAAATTATGTTGTAATTTTTCCACAATTCCAAGTTTAATGTGAATCCCATAGTTTTTTTTAAATTTATTTTTTATTCTTTATTTTTGTCACACTGCATGTGTGATATTCAATATCTAGTGACATAATAAACACGGTACAATAATATGTCTCTGCGGGGCAGAATAACAGTAAATTGAACAATAAGACAAAGTACATGCAGGGGGGCGGAGCCTGACCGTTCTGGAAGATGGCAGCATAATCCTGTAGCTCCCTCTTCCCAGCATATTGAATCCGCCGACATCCGCACACACAATCCACTAATCACCCTCAGAGAACTCTCAACACCCACCCCGCTCGGCCAGCAACAACCCAGAGCAATGGGGGGTGGAAAACAGAAAAAGGAACAGACGCCTTCGGTCGCCACGATATTCCGCCCGCAACAAGAACAACGGCGGCCATCTTGCCGCCAACAGACAGAGGAAAACGGCACAGACTCCGATGAAAGTCAATATGCCAAAACCTCGGATGCCCATCTAACTCTGCACGATATGCAAACCATGCTAAGGGAGGCCACAAAGTACATCAAGTCCCACATTGCGACAGAATTAGACAAACGGCTCTCAGGCATGAGGGAAGGCATTGAGGCCCTGATGAACAGGTCCAACTACACGGAGACACGCATCAAAGATCTCAGAGCCTCCACTCAAGCACACTCTCAGGATATCACCTACCTCCACGCTAAAATCAAGGCCATGGAGGAGAGCTTGGAAGATTTAAACAATAGCTCCAGAAGGAATAACATTCGGATCCAGGGCCTACCCAAAACGGTCACAGCGGACGGCCTGCATACCACACTTACTGACCTGTTCAGAACAATTCTGCCCGAAACCTCAATGCAAGAGCTCCTTCTAGACCAGGCACACAGAGCGCTCCGACTGCCTGCACTGAACCCAGATACCCCTAGAGATGTCATAATCAGGCTGCACTTCTTCGCAATTAAAGAAAAGATCCTCAGCCTCGCCAGAACCACCCTGCCACAATACCAGGGGACTCGCCTGGCATTCTACCAAGATCTCACCCCACCCACCCTGAAGAAACGGAGGGACCTCCAGCAGCTGACCCTCACACTGAACCATCACGGCATTCGATACATGTGGGGGCACCCATTTAAACTAATAGTACAAAAAGAAAACCAAACCTACATTCTTAACGAACCCGGCCGAAATCCACGGTTTGCTTACTCACTGGGCATCACCCTACTGCCACCACCGCTGATGACAGGCCGGGACGCCCTGAGACTCTGAGACGGATAACCGCTGCATCTTGACACTCCAAGACCGGACAAGTAAAACCAAGCTCTCCCACCCCATCCATTGCCCCACTTACCTGGGTGAGGGATCACTCCAGGGGTAACCGCCACGGTCACGGCCCATGGACACACCTTCCCACTTCCCAGGGCCCTTCCTGCCATTCTGCGTGCCCTGGACCCTGAGACTGAGGAGCGCCTATCCCCCCTGTACAAAACGGGATACCCCAATGCAGAGTAACTTTGCCCACCGGGCATATACACCCCAACACGATCTAAATGCTACTCCCTAGTGCCCACTCTACCAGTCACACGACTACAGGGACACTCCAAGACCCCCAGAGGCTTGTGGGCATTAGCAGAGACGGCCAAGGATTGGAGGGTAAAACTTATCATCTATTTGACCACGATTCTATTGTTCCACGACTTTGCTAAATTGCTAATTCTCACTGCTATATCTGACCAATCGATATAATGCACCTTTAATTTTTGCATAAGGTTTAGGATATATATATTTGATGTATATTGATGAAATTTACCATCATAATGGGTTTCTATAGCATAGCAAAATTAGATACAAGGACTCAGGGGGAACTCCCTCTTGCAGGGAATCACCCCACCCCCCAGAAGCCTGGCCCCGCCCCACGACCACTCACAACACAAGCCGGGTCTGGCCAACGGGGCGTATCTATACAAAATGAGGCCTGAAGGCCAAAGATCAAACCCCCCCGCCCGCCTCCACCGCCTCCATCACCGGGAGGCCGTATTAACCGTATTAACTGATTTTTAAATCATAATATGTATTAGGTATTTTTCTATACTTTGCTTTCTTAAAAAACTGTTTTGAGTCTCATTTTTAGGAGACTCTTAGTATTTTCTATTTCTTAATTCTCTATTTTGGGTATAAGCCCCTCTATTGGTGGAACTGGAACCACCATCCTGACCTCTATACATTATTTTCTCTTGTTACCTTTGCCCCTCTAGTTTAAGACTAGTTCTCCTGTTGTGGCAGTTTTTCTTCTTTTAATTATAGTCTCTCCTTTGCTTTGTTGATTCCCTTTATGTACAGTATTTAAATGTTTCTATCATATCCCTACTGTCTAGTCTTTTCTCCAAGCTATACATGTTAAAATCCTTTAACCTTGCCTGGTAAGATTTATCCTGCAATCCATGAACCAGTTTAGTAGCCCTTCTCTGAACTCTTTCCAAAGTATCAATATCCTTCAGGAGATACGGTCTCCAGTATTGCGTACAATACTCCAAGTGAGATCTCACCAGTGTTCTGTACAATGGCATGAGCATTTCCCTTTTTTTACTGCTAATACATCTCAATATACAACTAAGCATTCTGATAGCATTTCCTGCTGCTCTATTTCATGGTCTGCCTACCTTTAAGTCATCTGAAATTATTACCCCTAAATCCCTTTCCTCAGATGTTGAG